AAGGAATGGGGGTTGATGAAGATAAACTAAACTTGGGCGGAGACAAACAAGCTCAAAGCCAAGTGGTTGGTCCAGTGGGAACTAATAAAGTTCAGAAAAAAAACGAACTACCGCCTTCAATAACACATAAAATAGAACAGGTAGCTCGGTGAAAAGCTTTCCTTCACTGGCCTCATCAAATAGGGATCTCTACGTTAAAGAATTCAATCTCCATCAGGAAAGAAGAAAGAGTCGCATTCCAATTCCTGAAAGTCCAGTAAAAAATATGACTCTGGTAAGGAATAGGGGGGTTGACAGAAACTAACTTCAGGGCTGGACAAACAAGCTCAAAGCCAAGTGGTTGGTCCAGTGGGGACTAAGTTTAAAACCCAATTGGTTTTACTTGATTTGTTGGGATGAATCATTATTTTCAAATAATTAATACCCAAACAAATTGTTTTCTGCACCTTGTTTTAAAGAAATTGACGTTCTCTTAGTATAGAAACAGAATTGTAACCAGTCTAATGACGCTGATTTGTTATTTTCGGATTTATACCCAAAGAGAACAACACTTCCGAAAATTACTATGTAACACAAGTTTCTGGACAGATTTGAATATGCCAGTTTTCTGGACAGATTTGAAATGCACCGTGATATTCACAAACATTAGTGGCCCAAAGTACTCTACCTAACCCACGTTTCACTCACAAGATCACCATTATTTTAAAGGTTGATTTCAAAAGTTGAGATTGTAAATGTTTCCCAAAATATTACAAGTTGAATATTCAAAAGTTGATTTTTAAAATAATTCCAAATGACAACAAAAATTCAATAGTCATACTTTTCAATGAAATACAAATAGGTAGGTCGTAACAACGAATGATGCATAGCTAAGTGAAACACAACATTACCTACATAGCTTCATTTTTCACACATTGAGTAGTCAAATCGTTGAGAGACTTATCAGTATATGCAGATGTGATTGTGAATCATGTGACCTGGTGCACAGCTTTGGTTTTCTCAATATTTTGCCAATTATTTGATATACAGTAACAACTCATCTCAATATCAGAAGTAACATGGCAATAGTCATCACTGATTTACTTTACAGTGAGCATGCCTTTATTTTGTTCGTATATGCAGATGGATTGTCAAGTCATGTGACTTGGTGCACATGCTTTGGTTTCTCGATTTTTTTTGCTCGATTTTTTTTTTACAGTGACAACTCATCTCTTATTGATATATGTGGGATTCTCCAAATCAGAAAAGCACATGGCAACAGTGAATTCACTGATTTACCTTATAGTTGCATGCCCTTATTTTGTCCGTATATGCAGAAGATTGTGAAGTCATGTGACTTGGTGCACATGCTTGGTTTTCTAGATTTTTGCTCGATTTTTTTATTACAGTGATAACTCATCTCTTATTGATATATGTTGGGATTCTCAATTCAGAATTCACATTGCAACAGTGAATTCACTGATTTACCTTACATTGAGCATGCCCTTATTTTGCCCGTATATGCAGTATGGGATGTCAAGTCACGTGACTTGGTACACAGTAATTTTCTTTTCTATGTTTTTTCAGTCTAGTGACAACTCTATACTTGTTCGTATATGTGGATTGTCTGCAGAGGCATCTTTCTGAAAGCTTATAACCAACTATATAAACGACTAAAAGTGAAGACACAACCTTACAACTCATTCGCCCCTACGAAAATATCATTCATTTGTTTTAAAACTTAGCATGGCTACATGGTTCATGAGAGGGAGTGGGAATCGCAGAGGTGGTAGGGAACTTGCAAATGGCAGTGATGTTCACGACGAGACGGGGAAGGCGTTGGCGAGATGCTGAAGATGAAACACCATTTCCTTTGTTAGATGCCTCTTGTGCTTATCATGCTAGGTTTGGGAAGCGACATTTTTTGATGCCCAAGTATTATCCAGTTCAAGGAGGTTCATGTATGGATCCATCAGATAATCAAACAGGATATGGTTTAGCAGACGCTAGACTTCTGAAGTGGCCCGCACTATTTATAGAGCGAGTGCAAATGGAAAGATTATGTCGGGAAAATCGACTGAAGGTGCCAAAAGCACGTTCTGTTGAGATCCAAAAGGAAGATCCTGATAATGTTGATCGACTATGCGAAAGACTACAACGTGAGATTTCTCAAATGGGCCGTAGGTTAGCCTGCGATATGCAGCTATATATAGTTAAGAAGGATGCCCAGAAGAACAGAACAGAACCAAATGTTGCGGCTATCAAGGGTATCATGGAGGATCCTGAACTTGTCTATGATGCTGAGCTTTCGGATTATTCAAACTCTGAGCCACCTGCCAATTTAAGCGCGAATTAGGTGTTAATATTTACACTTTGGCAATATTAGGTCATGCACTAATATGTAATGTCTGTGTTAGACTAAGTATAACTGTTATGCTACGTTTATGTTTATGTATTGTGTCTGTCAAATGTTGTGGCTATTAATATGCAATATTAGGTCATGAATTAGGTGTTTGTCTGTCTAACTGTTATGTTTATGTATTGTGTGTTCCGTTCAGGGTGTCCAAGATATATGTAATGTGTGTTCAGTTCATGGTGTGCAGAATGTATTTTTGTGGGAGACTTACGTCTGTACTACCTATGTAACTGAAAACTATTACATTTGCAACTTCAGTTATGTTGTACCATCAAGTTTGGGTGTAGGGATTAAGGCAAGAATCCAAGGCCTACAAGTACATAATAAAACCCCATTGAATGCATTTCAAGAAGACAAGAAGAGATGCTCAAAGATGGATATGAAATGCATTCTTAAAACAAGCTTTGCATGAGCGTAAATGGTCTCGTCATTTCTTTCAAACTAAATCAGGACAAGCAAAACATGTGCTGGGAGTTAAAACTCTATTTTTTATCTCGGGAAAACATGCTGGGTACCAACCAGGTCTTGGCTGAGGTCATACACCTCTTGGCCGAAGTATGGTCTCCTAGGCCTAGGTGCGCATGCAAGATAACTAAAGTGCATGTGATCATGTAGGGTAGGCCGAAGTGAGATACGATGCTTGGCCTAGGTGTGATATCTAGGCAAGAGTGGGTCTCAGTGACCACACTTAGGAAAATGAGGTCTGAAAATCTGGGTTTCCCTCTTGATGAACATGAAGAACATGAAGGACAAGAACATGAAGAGCATGAATGCTAAAATCATAACTTCTTTATTCAAAATCTGAGATTTCATGAGATGAATTCGAAAACATGGATCTGGGTACCCATACTTGAAGAGCTTATGAAAACAAACACAAAAACATGGATCTTGATACAAACTTTCGGATCAAAACATGGTTTTATTTCAAGAACACAAGAACATCATTTCCTCTTTCTAAAACAAGCTTTAACTGAAAACTATTACATTTACAACTTCAATTATGCCTGTCTAAATTTTATTTTTTTAATGAAAACGGGTACAAAACGGTTTTACTAAACTGGTTTTCTGAATTACATTCTCACCTTATAACCCAAAACAAAGACAAAAGAATAAATATATATAGCTTTAGTAAAGTTAAAATAATTTTCCGAATAACACCTTCTAACAAAAAACAAAGACCAAAGAAAAAAAAAATTTACATGAAAACGATTTTAGTAAATCAAAAAAAAAAAATTATTAATTACATTATCACCTTCTAACCCAAAACAAACACAAAACAATAAACAAAAAAAAATTTACATGAAAATGGCTTTAGTAAAGACAAAAAAAATTTCTGAATTACACTTTCTAAACCAAAACAAAGACAAAAGAAAAAAAAATTTAACATGAGAACGGCTTCAGTAAAGCCAAAAAATTTTTTTGAATTACATTATCACCAAAATAATGACAACAGAAAAATAAAATTTACAAAAAAAAATTAAATATAATTTAAATGAACAGTGAAAGCGTGGTTTCAATCCATACTTACTGTAGTGAACAGTGAAAGCATGAATTTTGTAAATGAACATGATTGACTTAATAATGACTTAATAATATCTAAATGAACATGATTTTAAAATTATATATATGAAAAATATTATGTAAAATTAATATATGAAAAGAGGCTTTTCCCATAAAAATTTAAATGATATATAAATTGGCTTAATTCCCAAATGTTTGGTAATTAGTTAAAAATATTATGTAAAATTAATATATAAGGAAGATGCTTTTCTCATATGATGTAACACAAATTAATATATGAAAAGAAGATGTTTTTCCCATCTTATGAAAAATTTCTGAATTACACATTCTAAACCAAAAAAAAGACAAAAGAAAAAAAAAATTTAACATGACAATGGCTTTAGTAAAGCCAAAAAAAATTTATGAATCACATTATATCACCAAAACAATAAGAACAGGAAAAAAAATAAAATATTAAAAAAAAAAATAAATGAACAATAAAAACGTGGTTTCAATCCACGCTGTTACTCCTCAACAATGAAAGCGTGATTCCAAATAGCGTTTTCTGAAGAAAAAATAATGCACAGTGAAAGCGCTATTCCAAATAGCGTTTTCTTCACAAAAGATAATGCACAGTGAAAGCGCTATTTCAAATAGCGTTTTTTTCAGAAAAAAAATTATGTTAAAAGCGTGTTTTGGAACCACGCTTTCTTAATTAAAAGCGTGATTTGTAATAGCGCTTTTACTATTCATCACATTTTGGGCTCCAAACAGTAAAAGCACGATTGTAATAGTACTTTAGCCTAATTTGAAAATTCCATTCAAACTAAGTCTAGTTTGGGAATTAAGCTACAAATTAGGTGTAGGCCTTGTTTGAGAACATGCTAATTTAGTAATTTTTTGGCTATTTAGTTAAAATATGAGCTAAAAAAACAAGTATGTTTGAGATGACTTTTTAGTTTTTTACGAAAAGATGTGCAAAAAGTAGAGAGAAAAAAGAATCTTTAACTTTTTAGTATGAATTATTAATTTTTTAACTAATTTAATAATTTTTTAATTTTTTAATTAAAAATGAAAGTTACAAACGACGCCTTAGCATGGAAAAGCCTTCTAGGAAGGGGCTGAAATCAAACAGTTGGCGTATTGCGTAGAGTGAGGTAGAGCCGGAGGTGGAGATAGAGAATTGATGAATGGAGTCATCAAGTGGTCTGAAAACCCTAAACGTTATAGCCACCACCACTCCCCTTCATTTCCGCACCGGATTTTCCCTCTTCCGCCAACGTCACTTTCCCCAACTCATCAACAAATTCAACTTCTCTCTCTACTCCCCTTCTTCACCCTTCTCTCCTCTCTGCTCTCTCTGTATGTATTCTCTCTCTCTCTCTCTCTATATATATATATATATACCCTCTCTCTATGTATCTCTCTATGTATGTAGCGTCTTAATGTATTGCATCTATTTTTGATTTTGCAGCTGGAAGAGGCAATGGCGTTTGTCTGCCTAATGGTGTCGGTGAGGCACTCGGCGAAGCCTCACCCAACAAGCTTCTTCAAGTGGTATTAGTTTCTCCTCAGGTACTACTTGATTCATCAATAGACTGTTCTTGGAAATTTTCATTATGCTTTTCTTTTCCTTTTTTTTTGAAAATGCTACGAGGGTGTATAATATGCAAGCATAGTCAAATCATTTTATGTTATCATAACCAAATACTTTTGAGGCATAATCAAAGATCTCTTCGGTTATAACTACAATTATAACCACAATAAATCGTGAGTCATAACAAAACACGACTTGAGGGTCATGTTTGCACAAAAAATGGCTAACGCAGAAGGTTTGGGATGCGGCCATGCCAAGGCAAAGTCTTGCCTACATGAGATTGAATCTGACTTCTAACCAAAAGATTGTGCAAGGCCCGAGGGGACAAAAACCTTCTGGTTCTTTGTTTGCATCAGTGAAGAGGACTTAAAATCTCCTAAGGGTTGGTAGTTAGGAAGTAAAACTAGTAGAAGGAAGCAACAAGCAAGAAAATGTTAAATTTTATATACTCAAATGGATTGAACATACAAAATGACAAGAACAAGTTTGAATAAAATGAAATTGAGTTACAACTGGTTGTAAGCACAATTAAAACAAGAAGAAAATGTCACTGATGGCCGAAAACAAACTAAGTTGACACTGATGCCAAAGATGGCACTGATGCCCTAAAACTAAGCTGTCACTGATGCCTTTTATGACGAACTAAAGCTAGAGACCAAAGCTAGGTTGACACGGATGTCTGCTTGAGTGTAATTGTTTTGATGTGTTGGTCTGGATGCCATGAGCTTGACTTCACAAATGGCTTTTATAATGGATGAAACCTCCTTCAAATCATGAACTACATCCTGGAAATCAGGAACAACCTCTGGCTATGGCCCAACCATTTATGTTAGTGGGCTACTATGCTGCCTCCTGAGTAGCCATGTGTCCCACTTGACCCCTTCTCTTATGCTTCATGTTAAGAGTGCTCCTTAGGAATAGGGGCTTGTTGTAACCTCCTCCTGATCTTGATCGTTGGACGGAGGGCATGGGTCCTGGATTCAGTCCAAGAGCATCCCATAAATATAGGCTTCGTTGAGGAGATTTGAAATATGACTGTTGGATGAGGAGTAATGGAACCTCCTTCAGCCTAGATGGTTGGCACGTGCCCCAGCCTCCTGCAGCTTCAATTAAAACGTATATATATATATAGTATATAATATGTAGATATATGCATGTTGATAGGCTAAGAAGCACAGACACTTCTAAGCGGATGATGTATTCGTGTCGTGACGTGTTGTGTCCGTGTTGGACACCGACACTCTTTGGACACTTTCCTGACACGTGTCCGACACTCTTCAAAATGTGTCCCATTTTTTAATTTTTTTTAAAGACCTAGACACTCTTTGGACACTTGGAGGACATATGTAGCTATCACTTAAACACATGTGCCTATGGATTAGACACATGTGAAATTAATTATAAATTCGAATAAAATAACTTATGCTGTAATAATAAAACAAAAACCATCTAAATTTATAAAAATTAGTGTCATATTATATTTTTTTTATTATTTTTGAATGATATATTCATATATACAACGTATAACAAATATATAAAATTATATATTTTATGCGTATCCCCCAAATGTTGTGTCCTGTATTTTTTAAAAATTGGCGTGTCCATGTGTCCGTGTTGTAGCTATGTCGTGTCCGCGTCCGTGTCCGTGCTTCTTTGTTAATAGGTAATGGAACCTCCTTCAGCCTAGATGGTTGGCACGTGCCCCAGCCTCCTGCAGCTTCAATTAAAACGTATATATATATATAGTATATAATATGTAGATATATGCATGTTGATAGGCTAAGAAGCACAGACACTTCTAAGCGGATGATGTATTCGTGTCGTGACGTGTTGTGTCCGTGTTGGACACCGACACTCTTTGGACACTTTCCTGACACGTGTCCGACACTCTTCAAAATGTGTCCCATTTTTTAATTTTTTTTAAAGACCTAGACACTCTTTGGACACTTGGAGGACATATGTAGCTATCACTTAAACACATGTGCCTATGGATTAGACACATGTGAAACTAATTATAAATTCGAATAAAATAACTTATGCTGTAATAATAAAACAAAATCATCTAAATTTATAAAAATTAGTGTCATATTATATTTTTTTATTATTTTTGAATGATATATTCATATATACAACGTATAATAAATATATAAAATTATATATTTTATGTGTATCCTCCAAATGTTGTGTCCTGTATTTTTTAAAAATTGGCGTGTCTATGTGTCCGTGTTGTAGCTATGTCATGTCACGTGTCCGCGTCCGTATCCGTGTCCGTGTCCATGCTTCTTTGTTAATAGGCCTACCCCCCTATTTTCTAGGGATCACGTCAGTCTTAGGAGGTGATCCCTCATGATTGCTCTCTATCCCTAAAACCTAGGGACAGTTGAACTGTCACAAGGAGTTTAATAAAAGGCTCCACTTTCCCTCACAGCCCTGCCACACAACCACCTTCTATTGGGCTGTCAAATTTGGTCTGAAGAGGTCATAACCAAAATAACATCCACAATAAGTCATAATCAATACTACAATAGGTCATAACCAAATGCCACAAAGGAAATGACTAGGCATCCGGTACATGTGTATTCTGAAATTTTCCTTTATTTTTGTTCCTTTGAAGAGTTGTAGTAAGTTGTCTCTCATGTGCTAGATGGTTGCTATATTTTCTGTTTTACTCGGTTTGGTTTTTGAGAAAATTGGGGAAAAGGGGAAAGTAGATGAAAATTTTGAAACTCACATCACATTTTGATCAATGCATACCTTGTTCGGACTATGTTATTAGTTGCTTTATACTTAGCTAAGCGAAAGTTCTCTTATTGATACAATAGTTTACTGTTACACCGATTTAAATTTATGGGATTCAAATACATTATTTTCTTTTAATTGTTATTCTATTATTATTGTTATTTTTGGGTTCTTACTCTTTGTCAACAACCAAATGGAGAAGGGTTTCATTTTCAGAATTTCTATTAGTTGAATCTAGTAGTTTTGATGCTGCATTATTTTGAAAATGCTGATTCTGTTGTTCTATATGCTTTTGCATATGGCCATAATGCATACATGCATGCATCTCCGTTTGGATGGGGGATTTGGCGAGAAATGATAAAAAATGACTAGAAAAGAAACTTTTTCCCATGTTTGGTTTATAAATTATGTGAGAAACAGTGAGAAAGATAACTTTCTTATTTTATCCATTTCATTTCTCACCAAAAGTGGGGAGGAACAAGCTAATGGGGGTGGCTCTAAGTGCACACCAAAAGTTTGGTTGGGCACCCAATTTCTTTAGACACCTCAACCCTAATTTTGACTTTTGACTTTTTTTTAAAAAATTTTTTGAACACCCCCAAACACTTTAATTAATTCCACTTTTTCTTCACACCCTTTTGCTACAATCACTGTCGCTGCCCTAGTCTCCTCTATTGCCGCCTTCTTCTTCAAATAACCACCACCCGTTGTTAGCCATTCGTCGCCCCCTTCCCTACCTTATTCGTTGTCTGCCCCCTCCACCCCACCCCACCCCACCCCAACAACCACCCCACCCCACCCCACCCCACCCCAATTTTCTCTTCTCCTTCTCCTCCCCCTCCTCCTCTTCCTTCTCATCCTCTTCCTGAAACCTAGATCTAAAAACCCCTCAATTTTCTCTTCTTCTTCTTCTTCTTCTTCTTCTTCTTCTCATCCTCTTCCTAAAGCCCTAGATCTGAAACTAGGGTTTTTAGATCTCTTCTTCTTTGGTTTCAGGAGGAAGAGAATAAGGAGAAGAGGTTGGGAAGGGGGGTTCATGACCGGAAGAGGTGGCAAAGAAGAAAAAGGAGGAGCCGGCGGTGATGGTGATGGTGATGGTGGCAGTGGTGACGGGAAGAAGAAGAAGAAGAAGAAAAATGGGAGAGTTGCAAAGGAAGGGGGTTGCTAATGATAGTAGCGATGCGACGGTGAATGTTGGGTGGGTGTTGGTGGGTGAGGAGGGTCTAATGGTGGCGCTGAAGGGTGAAGAAGGGTTGGGACGTGGCAGGATGGGGTGCAAAGGGGGTGGCCAGAGCTTGAAAGGGGATGGCCTGAGTTGGGTGGTTAAGTGGTTGGTAGGAGGTAGCAAAATTGTATTTCATTTACTTGAGTGTCTAAATTGTATTTAAAAAATTGAAAAATGGGGTGCCCAACCAAAGTTTTGGAGTGCATTTATAGCCTTCTTGTTGATTGATTATAAAATATTTATAATACCAAGATTACCCCTTAAAATACAAAGAAATAAATGTAAGTTCGCTTATATCTCTCGCTTACATGTTTTGCTTTCTTACCCATCCAAACATGATAGTGAGAAAATTCAATCATTTCTTTTCTATTTTTACCTAGACGAGAGGTTATTATCATTTCTTTTCTTTTTTTACCCCACGATCCAAAACAGAGTGCCTAATAAGCAATTATTTCATCAATCTGTGATTGGAATCCTTTTGAAGCATCAAAACAATGTCTCGGATAGCACTTAGGGGCATGACTAGTCAAGATAGTGTACATAAAACTATCATGAAATTGAATAAGATGCAATGTCGTAGAAGGAAGAACTGTCAAGATGCATCATGGCTTCAATGAAGGATCCTGTCCTTTAAGTTAACTCTTCAGAGTATCTTTTTACTATAATCAGGAGATAAAAATCTAATTCTTCTAGTCACAGAACCTATTTTTCTTTGATTTATAATCATGATATTGCCTGACTTAACAAATTTCTTGAATGTATGCAGAAGTCACAAGTAGAGCTATTTCTTCCCTTTTGGTATTTACTCTTGATTTGGTTTCTACAAAAAACTCTGTACAGTTGAGCATGATCATAAACTGCCCAATTTGATCTGAGACTGAGTCTCAGATTACTGGCTAGTGAACCCATTTGGTAATAAACATTTAATTGAACTTCAGGATGATTTAATTGTGCCTATTTTTTGTGCCATATATTTGACACCAGTTTTTTTTTGTTTGTGTGTGTGTGTGTGTGTGTTGGATTTCAATTATGTGACAGATTTTTTTATAACCATTATATTTGTGCTGAGAAGACAGCCTAATACAATCATCTGAATATATCCAGCAATTTTTCGGAGTGGCCATGCTGTTAGAATGACTTGCATGCCAAGATAAATTGAGCATGAAGAAATTCTGTTTTTTTAGCTGTTTGCTTAATATTTAATTAAGTCTTGGGTTGTGTGCGCATGTCCCAAAAGTCAAGTAAAGAATGACTTTTTCTGGTTGGATTGGATGTGGTTTGTGGTCTGCAATTATTATTATTGTTATTTTAAATTCAAGTGTATCATAGCTGTAATGAAGGATTCATGACTCAATCAGCAAGACTTTTGTTATTCATTTAAATCTTTTTCATGTAATAGTTTGACAGTGTTACTAGAAAACGATAATACCCTAATGAATTACGTTTTGGAACACGCATTCCGAAACATGGTACATTTTCGTTCCAAAACAATAAATTTAGCAATCTAGGCCCCGTTTATTTTTAGAGGTAGAATGGAGGGGACTGTTAGTGAGGGGACTGCTAGTGAAGGAATTAAGAAAAATTGTGTTTGTTTGATAACCAATGGACTAGTAATAGTTCATGTTTATTTTGAGAGATAGGGATGTGATTAACCATGTGAAATCTAAAGAAGAGAGAGCTTCTCTTTGCCTTTCTTTCCTCCTCCTCCTCCTGCTTCTGCTTCTGCTTCCAAGAATGAGTTAGGGCAAAGATGGGTAAACAAGTAAATCACTCCCCTAATACCAACGGACTAATTTTCAGTACCAAGTGTTGGGGCAGATTGTGAATCCCAATATGCAAGGCCCATCTTAAGCCCTCCGGCTTATGAATGCCTTCTCCAAATCTGTAAATATACAGAACATTAAATGGGTCCCACCTCTATCCTAATCTCATCCCTCCCTCTATACCCCAAAACAAATGGGGCCTAAAGTGATTTCAAAAGTTTTTTCTAATATATTTCCTTACAGATTTCTTAGGAGGAAAAAAAATCAAATATAATGAATTAAAATCTAAAGTGAGTGAAGTTTTAACAGGACACAATGTAAAAAATAAGTCATAATGCTCATATAAAATGTGTTGCTACATGATTAATTTGAAAAGAACAGCTACATTTTATTGGATGCTTAATTGTTAAAAGAAAATTATTATAGAAGTACCTTAAATTATTAAAGTGTAAGCTGTATAACACTACTCCTATCGTACCACATTTTAGAGCATGTGGTGTACCACGTTTCCATTCTTGTTCCACGTACGAGAACGTTCTGCGTTCCAGGTAACATAGGTCTGACTATTATATCAGTTTGGTGAAAACTGAAGATAACAATGATGGCAGCTGTCATGGATGATTTTTTTGTTTCTTACCTACCATAATGACAATAATTTGAGAGAACAGTTAATGGATTGACTTTGCAAATTAACTCGACTCTTGCATTGTTTTTTATTTTTATTTTAGAAAGAGTAAAAAATTAAAAAATTGAAGTGCATGTGATGTTTCTATTTCTGCCCTCCCTTATATGCTTGTTTTCCCACTCACTTGAAGCAATATATTTAGGCATGGGGTATTTTTATTTTGGTGTGGCCTGATATTCATGGTGACTCCAAATCACCTGCTTCAATGTTTTCTTTTGGGTTGCAGACAACCACAATATCCCAAGGCTGGCTCTGAGAATTCTCTTGTCCTTGGCAGATTCCTGGTAACACCGGATGCATTGCCAGAACTTGTGCAGCATCAGCTGTTGGACTACACCTAGTTGGGGTAGATATACCTGCTGTCGCCTGCACTTTACTTGTGTGTTTGTTCTTTTAAGTAGAATGATGATATATATACTTTTAGCTTTTACTCATCTGCTTAAGAACTGCTGCTAAATTTGCTGTTTATGCATTTGTTTTTGTTCAGCCATTAGGGTTTCAAGTGGATGATGCAAAACTAAAGCGTGCTGGATTGGATTATTGGCCGTATCCATAAAATGTTTTTTAGCTATTGGTTTTTCCTTTTTGTTCCCCAGAAACTTTCTCAATTGCTGTTCCTTTCTGTCATGTTTTAATTTTGTACCTCATAATGATGAGAAAAAGATCCTCTAGAATTGTTTTTTGTTTGTTTTCCACTTTAATAATTCTAATGACTGTGAAGTTGAGAATTATGTACCTCAGCTGGTCATGTGCCTACAGCTGACTGAAGTTTAGAATTATGTTACTCATACTGTTTTTTTTTTTTTTTGTTTCATGTTACTATTTTCACCATTCTTTTGTACAGTGAGTTGAGGTAGATTGTGTTGCTTTGTATGCTGGCCTATCATGGTTGGCATTGTACCCCTTTATTATTGGTTGTTGGAGTTCTTTTTCAAAATCATGTGATGAGTTCTTCAAACTGATGAGTTCTTTCTTGAGCTTTTACCCAATTCTATCAAATTTTTGTTGTCACTGTGTCCTTATTTCTGTAACACATGCAAAAATTGCTTGTTGCAAGAATTAACGTTCTAAATTAGATATGTAGTTGTCAAAGTGCATGATTCATGGGCAGAGTTTCGGAATTATTTCGTTAAACAGGTTACTCTTCTTATTTAATGGAGTTGAAGACCACCTCTCTCTCTCTCTCTCTCACCTGCTGCATATATGTTTATGATCCCTACAGGATGGGGAAAAACGGCTGTTGGCATTTACTAAGAGAGGAACAACTATTCATTCAGTAAGTTGCCTGTCCTTTTTACCTTCACATTTCTGGCTTTCACTCTGATTAAACTGTAAATACAATGCCAATAATGATGATATTTTTACCTCTTGACATTTGTTCAGTAAACTTTAGAGCCCTTCCAAGAGGACTCACATGCAAAATGTAATATTTTGTTTATACAAAACTAGAGAAGTTTGGTATGTGGGCCTTACATGTGATTATTCCCTATTTGGAATATGAATATATTCCATTCGACAATTTTGACCTCAGAACAAGAAGTTCTGGGGTTCTTGGGAACATCAAGCCACAAACTTTCCAATACACCTCCAATCGATGAAGTAAACACAAGTACTAGGATCCCTTTCCTAATAATTTCATGACTGGCTTCCTTCATTTGGCTATTGCTCGACTTTGTACCCTCAATTTGTTGTCCAACAAGCTCTCTGGTGATCTAAGAAACACAGACACAGACACGATACGGACTTGCGAACATGTAAATTTTCAAAAAATAAAGGACAATATGTTGGGGACATGTGTAAAAAGTATAATTTTATATATTTATTATGTCATATTTTTAAATATTTAATATGTATTTTATGTCAAATATTTAATTTTATCAAATTTATTAACTTTAGGCATGTTATTTTAGTAAAAAATTTAAATTTTTTTTGAAAAAAATAGTCCTCAGTGTGTCTCAACGTGTCCGTAGTAGCGTGTCCCAAGTGTCTCAGCATATCCGATTCTTTCCAGCATGTCCGACATATGTCGGACACTCGTACATGACCTCCGGAGAGGTGTCCGTGCTTCATAGCTGGTGATGTTAGTCTTCCCTCTTGGCAGTCTCTTCTTCTTGAACTTGACCAACAACCTGTTTAGAGCAAGAGCAAAAGATAGGCACAGAATAGATGCAAATGACAACATAATTGGGCTGAGAGCGAGTGGCTGTTGGGGAGAGTCTTGGGGAAAAACAGAAATGGGGCAAAACAGAAAAAGGAAAAAAGCAGGAGAGTGAATGAGAATCAGATAAGATCATAAGAGAGAGAATGTGAACCACTTTGCTCATGGCGTATAATTTGCGCAGAAGTGTAAAAGTGCTGCGTGACATTATCGCCACCCTTTCATCAAATGTGTGAACAAAATTTGTATTAAGTAGATATAGAACATACTCAGCTATTGTACCCGCTGTAGGAGGTACTGTTCAAAACAACACAAATACGGAAATGTTTTCAATTTCGGTGACATTGTTGGTGTTTGCTCAATTACAAAGAGATCTTATTCCTATGTAGCTATGGTAAGGTGGGTGAATGTGATTAGTTGACGGTCTGGGATGATTGCTGATTGCTAAAATGTTAATTTTTTCAAGCTTTTCTACTTGCTTTGTGTTGATCCTTTGGATCATTGGGAAGGGTTTGATGCCAACTAACATTGGAATATTTGCAAATTGGATTCTTTGGTGCCTCATATATTGGAGACTTAACATGGAACTTTGGAACCCTGTATCACCCAATGACAATGCTTTACAAATAAGCTTCATTGATTGTCCAGACCTCATTTTAGATGATTGAGTTGGTTGCATCTTTGTGATTCTGTAACCCTACTTTGATCACTTAAGCATCAATTCATGCTCAAGGAAGCAGAAAAAGAGGAATGGGTTTTGTTTGAGAGAGAGATCAAGAGATCAAAATGGCAGACCATTTCTGTGGCATAGTTTGTGTGTTTTGTTTATGGATGGGTCACAGCCATACTTGTTCAATGTCTGCAGCATTGGTGGGAGTAGTGTAATTTTAGGAGGCCATTTATACATGCTCACATCTTCCATCAGTCTGCTTTTTAGATTATTTCGTAGTCCTCCTGGATTCATTCATAGTTAGTTGATACTGTTAAGTTGAATTTCTATTATTGCAGGACTTTTCCTACAGAAGAGGTGATTGGCTCGTTTTTGGCTCAGAAACTAGCGGGTTACCACCAGAGGTTGTGCTTGACTGCAAGGGTGAAGAAGCATTTGGATTTGGTGGTGGTACCATTCAAATTCCAATGGTTGAAACTTATGTGAGGTGTCTCAATCTATCCGTGAGTGTTGGCATTGCTTTATATGAGGCTTCTAGACAGTTAAACTATGAGCAGCTGCTAAAATCGTCTCCTTCACAAACTTGTATGGATGCTGCTGCTGCTGATAACTCATTTATTGCTGAAGATATTTTTGCTTAAATTCCATTCTCTAGTTTCATTGCCAAATTTGGGAAAGCAGAGACATGGTTGTAAAGGTTCATCAAACTGGGTGCTCCAAGCAGAACCATATTTTCATATAAATTTAATTTCCACTTTCATTGCCTTGAACTTTTGCCTGACTTATGCCAGGGTGTTGCTAAATGCATTCACAATCGTCTCTTTACTTTGCTCTTGCATGTAGTGGGAGTCGTGTTCTTACATGAGGGGAGGGGGGCGTATAGAAAAACAGTTTTGCTACATCCACCAAATAACATGTAGCCTGACTTGCCCGAATGAGGTGGAGGGTGTGTGCTGTGTTAGCCCCAGTTGCCCCAATTTTTGTGTGGGCTTCATGCACTACTCAATCATAAAATCAACACACTTTTGGCTCACTTGACCTCACTACCTCTCTCACTCGAATCGGTTTCTCTCACATCAACGTCGTCAATCACTGATTGTGACCACCACACTCTCTCGCTCTCTCTTTCTCTCTTGCTACCTCTCACTTGACCTCGCTACCTCTCTCTCACTGAAGACCACCGTCCGCTACCTCTCTCTCACTGAAGACCACCGTCCACCACCGATGACGACGATCACTGTTCACCACTCTCTCTCCTCTCGACTTGATGATGATGATGAAGCCGATGCAGTGATTCTTGCTCTGGTGGGTGAGAGACGAAGTTGGTTGAGAGAAAAAAAAGGAAGAGAGGAGAGAGGGTTTGCATTTGAGAAGAAGAGATGGGGGGATTTCCCTAAATAAGCCAAAATAATAAAGGAATTCCCAAACTAAGCCTAGTTTTGAAAGAATTCCCAAAATGAGCTAACTCGCGGTTCACATTCGCGAGTTCAATACTTTTCCACCCCTGTCGCCTGAGACCTGTAAAAATTGAAACTCGCTGTTAGAAAAAACGAGTTTAATTAAGAACTCGCTGTTAGGAAACGCGAGTTTGATTAAATTTGTTTCCTTTGAACTCGCTTTTTACAAGCACGATTTCATGCTGAACTCGCTTTTTCAAAACACGAGTTTATCAGAAAGGATTTTTGTGCTGAACTCGCTGTTTGTAAGCGCGAGTTTATCAAAAAAAAATTTCTAATGAACTCGCTCTTTGTAACCACGAGTTCATCAAAACCCACGTTTTATGAAAAAAAATTTTAACCTCACTCTTTAGAACCACGGTTTTTCGCCAAATTTTTTTATGAACCGTGCTTTTAGCGTAATTTTTTTTTTTAATTTCAATTTTACTGAACTTTAAAGAAAATTTTTTCGTTCTTTTGTTTATGTTGTCATTGTTTTGGTGATAATATATTTCAGAATAATTTTTTTGGTTAAAATTCTTTTACTAAAACCGTTTTCATATTAATTTTTTTTTCTTTCCTTTTGTCTTTATTTTGGATTAGAATGTGTAATTCAGCATTCTTTTATTTTGTTTGACTAAAGTAAATTTCTTTTGTTTTTCCTTGTGTTTGTTTTGAGTTAGAAGGTAATAATGTAATTGAAAATTTTTTTGAGCTTTAGTAAAGCCGTTTTGATGTCAATTTTTTTTTAATTATTATTTCTTTGTTTTGCGTTAGAAGGTGTTATTTAGTAATTTGTTTGGGCTTTAATAAATCTGTTTTCATTTAAATATATATATTTTTTCTTTTGTCTTTATTTTGGGTTAGAAGGTGATAATGTAATTCATAAATTTCTTTTCACTTTACTAAAGCCATTTTCATGTAAAGTTTTTTATTTTTTATTTTTTTCTCTTGTCTTTGTTTTGGGTTAGAATGTGTTATTCAGAAATTGGTTTTGGCTTTACTAAAGCCGTTTTCATGTAAATAATATTTTTTTTTTCTGTTGTCTTTGTTTTGGGTTAGAAGCTGATAATGTAATTCATAAATTTCTTTGAACTAAACTAAAGCCGTTTTCATGTAAACTTTGATATTTTTTATTTTTTTCTCTTCTCTTTGTTTTGGGTTAGAATGTGTTATTCAGAAATTGGTTTTGGCTTTACTAAACCTCATTTCTTAACCCCTAATTTCTGACATAACCCTCATTTCTGATTTCACAATTTAAAACCGTTAATTGAAAAATGATTTCACATTCATCAATTCAAAACCCTAATTCAAAACCAAAACCCTCATTTCTGATTTCACATTCAATACAAAACCATAACCCTCATTTTCTTATTTCAAACATAATATTTAAATTTTGCTACACAGATGCAACATTCAACAGATTTCACATTGAACAGAAATCTGATATCACATTCAATACAAATCTGATTTCACATTCAACAAATTTCACAATTATAAACAGATTTAAGATAAATATAAACCATTCAACATTCACATTCAACAGATTTCTAAACATATTTCACAAATATAAACCCTAACCCTAACCCTAACCCTAACCCTAACCCTAATTTAAAATTTAAGATTTCACATTGAACAGATTATCTATAATTAAAATTCAACAAATTATCTATAATTAAACACATTCAACAAATTTAACAACAAATTATCTATAGCAAAAGATTTCACATTCAACAGATTATCTATAATTAAAATTCAACAAATTATCTATAATTAAACAAATTCAACAACTTATCTATAATTAAAATTCAACACATTCAACAAATTATCTATACTTAAAATTTCACAAATATAAACCTTAACCCTAATTTATTATTTCTGATTTCACAACATTTTATTCACGAATATAAACCCTAACCCTAACCCCACATTCATGAACCCTAACCCTAATTTATTCACAAATATAAACCCTAACCCTAACCCCACATTCATGAACCCTAACCCTAATTTATTCACAAATATAAACCCTAACCCTAACCCCACATTCATGAACCCTAACCCTAATTTATTCACATTTTCACAAACATAAATATATTCACAAATTTAAACTCTAATCCTAATTTATTCACAGTAAAGTAGATGATAGAAGCCATACCAACGAGAGAGAGAGACAGTACTGAATCAATCAGAGGGAGCTCCAGAGAGAGACAGAACAGAGAGTAAAGAGCGAGACAGAACAGAGAGTAAAGAGCGAGAGAGAGACAGCAGTGGAGAGGAGAAAGTGTGAATGGAAAACACGGGGCTGGGGGGGTTTAAATAGAAGTTCTAAAATCGTGGTTATGAACCACGATTTCATTTAAAGAAAAAAAATTTGCTCTAAACTCGTCGTTATGAACAGCGAATTCAGAAGAAATCCATTTTTTGATGAACTCGTGTTTTGAAAAAGCGAGTTCAGCATGAAATCGTGCTTGTAAAAAGCGAGTTCAAATTTAATCAAACTCGCGTTTTCTAACAGCGGGTTCTTAATTAAACTCGCTTTTCCTAACAGCGAGTTTCAATTTTTTCAGGTTTCAGGCGACAGGGGTAGAAAAGTGTTGAACTCGCGATTGTGAACTGCGAGTTAGCTCATTTTGGGAAATCTTCTAAAACTAGGTTTAGTTTGGGAATTTCTTTATTATTTTGGCTTATTTAGGGAAATGCCCCGAAGAGAGAGAGAGAGAGAGAGAGAGAGAGAGAGAGAGTGAGTGGAGCATTTGAGTGGTTTGGGCAAGTGGGCACTTTTTGAGTTTGAAGCTTGCCAACTCATTCGAGCGGATTCGGGCACCACTTTTTGTGTGGATCAAATATTCATAGAAAAATTTGACCCATATATATATATATATATATATATATTTAGCAACATATCAGTGGGTGTAAAAATATTTGATTCATGTATTTAACATCCTGTTACTCCCACGAATGCTAATATTTATGCCAAGATACTTGAGCCTCATTGAATTTGTATTTTTGTTTAATCTTATAAAAATTTATATTATTTATCCAAAATTTCAGCCAAGTCAATTAAAAAAAAGAAGTTTTCTCAAAAAAGGAAAAAGGAAAAAAAAAAAATTAAAAAACACAAATATTTCAACACCAAATTTTCAAAAGCTGAGTGAACTTTTTCCATCAATTCCAAATTTATAAAATATATATATATATATATATATTTGATAAATATATATCTTTTTAACATTTGGAAATTTGCTAAAGATGTGTATGGATGTTAAATTTGCGGAAGCAACTCAATTTTGCAAATCGGCTTGGCATTGGGTAGATTGACACAGTAGTTGTGTTTGGTTGTTCGGAGGAGAAATTGAAGATTCAAATTCATCTTAACTGGGTGACTATCCTTAATTCTCCACCTTTTTCACTAAAATATTTCTCTAATGGATTTTTTTTTTTTAATTCTCGATTTTAATAGAGATTCTCTAATGTTGTATTTGAATTGCCAATTTGTATAGAGATTTTTTTTAAATTTTTTTTTACATCGGGAAGAACATTTGCATTGCAAAATCGATAAAAAATCAGATCAATCTCGTACAGTAGTAGTAAAAGATCTCATAACAAGATAATAAACTTTCGTAGAAGGAAGAATCCTAACCTCCATAGAGAAAAAGAAAAATACCCTCACAAAGGAGGGACATAACCTCCACAAGGAGGATTATTACAGTAAACAATAAAAAAAATAAAAAAGCAAACCAAAAACAATCAAATCCAAGTCGCCAAATGCATCCGAAACCTCATTACATCGTAACCTTCAACTTGAAATCTAAAGACCCCACCTCCGCTGGTCAAGATAGAATATTGAGGTTGAGATGGTCACCTAGCATGAAACGAACGCGTTAAAAAGAGTCGGTCTTGGGATTATGAAAGGATTTGAAACCAAATCTTAAAGTTTTGTGCACAAGGGTAAAAGTTTAGGCACGAGCCAAACATCAGTTCTGGAATATAGGAAAGAGGGAGAGGCGACTCCAACACCAGTGGCCAAAGACAGATCTGAAAGAGATGAGGCAGATCTAGTGAGGATGAATTCATGGAAGTGGGAAGATGGTAGATCTGGTGATGGTGTGGTGGTGGCGGCGTCGAAAAGGGTTGGAAGGAGAAGCTTCCAATATTAATAAGCAAGAAGACAAAGAAAAGAAAAAAAAAAAATTAGTAGAAGAAGGAGAGAGGAGGTCGGTAGCCGAAACCCATCCCAACCCCTAGTGGCATACCTAGCAGAAAGCTTAGAGAAGAAGGCTTAGAGATAGATGCTTTGAGTTTAGAGAGAGAGCACAACTAATTTGTATAGAGAT